TGAGTAAGAACTTGAAAGAAATGAGAGGAGAAGACTGTGTGGCATCTGAGGGGGACCATTCCTGGCAGATGTAACAAAGACCTTCCAATGGGAATATGTTTGAAGTGTTCACAGAACAACAGCATAGAGACCAAGGTGGCTGGAGCAGAGCAAGCAGGGGCGGAAGTGGGAAATGTAGTCAGAGAGGTATCAAGGAAACATCATGTGGGGCCCTAGAAACCAACTGGCTTTACTCTGAGAAAAGTGGGAGCCATTGCAGGTCTTTGAGCAGAGGAGGAGCATGATATGACTTGAGTTTTTAAGTGATAACTCTGGCTGCTGTGTTGAGGATAGACTAAAGGGGGCATAAGAGGATATGGAGAGGCCAGGCAGGAGTTCTCCTGGTCTACTGGGACAGTAGTGAAAGTGGTGAGCACTGATTGAATTCTATATATATTTTGAATGGAGAGTCACAAGGATTTTCTGACATCACTCCCTGTAATCCTTTACTAACTTTAGATCAATATGTGTTTATTTTTTAGCAAAAGAAGAATTAATTGATCTGGCAGGCATTGCTAACATATTCATTGTCCCTCTGTGTGTGAGCTCTGCATGGCAGGTGACCATGTCCTGGTTATCCAGAGATCCCTGTAGTACCTTGGACAGTTACCTTAGCAGTTGGTGATTGCCCTTCAGTGTTAAACTGGATAATTTTGACAATTTGTGGATATCACGGTTTTATATTTGGAAAATATAATGGTTAAATACGATAACTACTCAAATTTATATTCAATTGACTGTGAAATATTTTGTAATAGTTTTAAATTCAATCAACATTTTTTTTACAGCAACCAAGATAGGAAAAAAGTGAAGAAAGTAAATTTGATTGGACCATTAACTTTGGTAAGCTGCAAAATATGAAATGTGAACACCTTCTGTCTTTATTTAAATTTGATGTCTTGAATCCATAGTTACAGCAGTACTTTAAGATTGTTTATAGGCAGCAATAGGTTTTCTGGGCTGTACCCATGCTATCCTGGGTTTGCTCGTCATAGTTAATGGCCCACGTTCTCAGGACAGATGATAAAACAGGTAGGAGTAGGCTGCTATACCAGAACTAACTGGTATACAGGGAAATTGAAAATAGGGCTTGTGTTTGTAGCACCAAACAAACCAACCAATCTCAGAAGAATGCATCTCTGCCTTTGTTTCACACAAAACCCTCCAAATTTAGCTTAAAGTAAGCTTGCAAATAAAGAAAGTGGTTGTTAGCTATAGAAAATTTTAAATAATTATAACAAACCTATGTTCACATTTGGCTTCCAGGAAATTTGATTAAATATGGAGTTTCTATTATGGATTCAGATATGTTTACAATTCTGTTTTCTGCTGATCCAAGGCAAGCCTACATATTTGTGGAAGAAGTGTAATCTGTTTTTCATTTGTAATATATCTTAGAGAGGTGAGCTAAGAAAGTGTTTGCCCACTTTTGGTGACAGATATGTCTCAAGCTATGACAGCTGTTATTTAATAGCAAAGAAGTTGGTATTAAGTGGCATGTCTGCTAGAATCTCCAACTTATTAAGGAAATGGATGAGAGGACACCAAACATCCACACTCTTGAACACTGTTGCACGTTTCTCATGTCACCACAAAGTCCCTACTCCTTCTCTTCTCCCTTCTGCTTGTGCGTTTTTGCTCAAGACTCTCAGGAAAGGTAAAATTTTTTTCAATTTAGTGGTTCAGAAAATAAATTGCTTGTAAGACTAAATCTGATTTTAATGCACATGTTTTAAATCTGCCTCCTACAGAAAACAAAATGCCACAAACCTTAAAGTAGAAACATAGAAATTTTCATTTGAATTTGAAACTTTAACCTTAAATTAAATGTAATCTTTTTCACCCTATGAATAGATTTTGTTGTTGTTTTTCTGGTCGAGATTCTGGACAAAACTGTGCTCTAGTAGAAGTTAGAAGTGTATTATTTTGTTGAAAAATCACAGAAAACAAATCTAGGTTTACTTAGGATGTTGCTGTGAAATTCATGAAATTTTAAACTTAAGCTTAGGGACAGTAATATTTTATTTAATTAATATGAAAGGCATTTTAAAATTGAGGTATAATTGACATATAACATTATATTAGTTTCAGATGTAATACAAAAAGCATTTAAAACGTTCCCCAAATTCATGTAAATTTCAGTAAAGAGAACATTGCATGACAAGCTGACCCTGGGCTTGAACTGTGGCCGATAGACCCAAGTGCTATATCTCCCTTCCCCAGGAGCTGCTAAAATGAACCTTGGGGACACTGGTCCATTATGTAGCAATTTTAGGGACCCTTCCCCATTTGCTCTTGACTTTACCTGCTCCCCTGTTCCATTCCAAGCTCCACCTGGCTTCCGACCTTTTGTCTCTTTTGGCACTGTTGCTTGCCCTCTGTGTTTGATGACCAAACTTGACCTCCCCAGACTGAACTTCTGAAACTCTTTGAGAACAGTTTACACACACTCCCCACTCCCCACCATGTGCTCTTGACCTCAGGCGGCCCAGGCGGCAGCAGTGTATTGACCTGGTCTGACTCAGCCTCAGCTCTCAAGGACCCCACTCTGGCAAGCCAGACTCATCACCCATTCTCCTGATGACTATTCCTTGTCCCCCAAAGTGGGTGGAGTTGGGGAAATAGGCAGAGGGAAAGGTTAAAAAGAGGAGAGAGTTTCAAGGGACAGAGGGGAAGGTATAGAAATGGAAAACTAAGAGAAGGAAGATGGAGGCAGAGGGGGAAAGAAGAACAAAGAGAGAGAGTCATAGCTGGGTCAATCACAAATGGGGAGAGATAAACTGGGAGTTTGGGATTTGCAGATACTAACTTGTACATATAGAACAGGTAAACAGCAAGGTCCTACTGTAAAGCCCAGGGAACTATATTCATTACCTTGTAATAGCCTATAAAGAAAAAGAATATGAAAAGGAGTATATATCTATATATGTATAACTAAATCACTGTGCTGTATGCTAGAAATTAACACAACATTGTAAACCTACTATACTTCAATAAAAAAGAAATAGAAAAAAATGGAAAGAAAAAGTGAGAAATTGGAGAGGACTAAAAAGATGGTGAAGGACACAGTTTTTTGGAATATTATGACACTAATCAGCTGGTTAGTTCTTGGCTATTGTGTACTTCACTGTAGCAACTGGTATCACCCCTCCCTTCTATAGATAGTAGTAAGTCCAGAATCGTTGGTGTGGCCCACCAGGCCTTTTATACCTCTCTCCAGTATCGTCTCCCACACTTTGTATTGTGCACTCAGGAATTCCACTGCATGGAGTTACCTGAGCCCTCCCTGCATTTCCGAGTCATCCTACTGTTCTAAGCCTCAACATCCTCCACTCCCTCTGCAGTCCCCATTTCTTCTTCAGCTAGCTCTCCCTTATCCTTCAAGATTCCACAGTGAGCACCATCTCCCTAGCAAGACTTCCCTGAGTGCACACACTGACACTCCTTAATGTTTGTTGCACTTCACTGTTGAGCTGCCTTTTAAAAGCTAACTTAAACCTCTTAAAGGAACCTTATCCTCAAAACTCAGAGGAAGTGTCTTCCCCCCATTTATAATTCTCCCTCCAGAATATTCTGAATGTCTTTTTAAAGGATGTAGTATGTGTGTGTATGTGAAAAATGTCTGCCCCTAGCTGTTCTTAATTTACTACCTCAGGAGCCTGGGGCAATCAGTGTTTCCTAATGGAAGCAAACCTTCATCCTTTCTGATTATATTGCAGTGATTTAACCGAATAAGATCCTGCTTAAATGGAATTAGATTGATTTTGTCACAGAATACAAAAAAAAAATAGAATCATGAAATTTGTCTGACGGTGATTTGGATGGAAATTCTCTTTCTTCCCTAATACATTTATTTGCAGCCATTACGAAAGTACTGACCTTAAATAAAAACCTGAAGAACATTACATAGTGGAAAAAGAAAATTTCTCTTATACAAACTAAATATTTTTTCTTTTCTTTTTCTTTCTTTCTTTCTTTCTTTTTTTTTTTTTTTTTTTAGTTTCGATACTCTGATTGGCAGGATAAGTTATTCATGTCCTTGGGCACGATCATGGCCATAACTCATGGATCAGGTCTCCCCCTCATGATGATAGTATTTGGGGAAATGACTGACAGGTTTGTTAATCCTGGAGAAAATTTCTCCCTTCCAGGTAAGCATTTCTCTACTTTTAAAAATATGTGTGTCTATAGTACTTCTTTAGCTGAGTGAAAGATTAGAAATAGATTTTTCTCTTCATCATCTGCTTGTTTATTGGTTTGGATATCTGGGTGACTCCAGGAATCAAAGAAGGAGTTGTAAAATTCTCAGAAAATCCCTCAAGTACTCACTTCAATTTCAATAACCAATAATGGTGTATACCATTTGACTTTTTACATAGAATAAGGAAATATACAGAAAGCTTTGCATTTAAATAAAGTAAGGAAGCCACTCTACTTGAGGACAGTGGAACTCTAACAGTGATGTCTATGCTGTGTTCATCCCATTAGTGATTATTGATGAGCTTCAAAATACATCAGTTAGCATGGTGGTACTTCTTTGCTATGCTCAGCTTGTAGACCTGCTTCTGGTTTTGTTTTTTTTTCTCTCCCCTAACTTTTTTGTTAAAATTATACTCACTCTCTGTCTCGAAGTTTTGGGTCAACAAAGTTGACTGGAACTTGATAGGACACTAAAGAGTGAATGGACTCAGTGCAAGAATCATGAGCTCTGAAACTCACCAAAAGGACTGTAATTACTGAAGAGCCAAAGGAGTCCCATAAGTTAGTGTCCTCTATGTCAGGGGCTGTGACAAAAGCATTGGAGTGAGGTTCCAGTGGACATAGTTATTTACATGTTAGCCAAATTTAACATAGAAAGAAGATGTCCGTGCTTTCTACCAAGCATGAGGGCTCAGTTCTTCCCAAGAGAGCTGTGGGCACTCATTTGGAGAAGACCGAGTGAAGCTTTATTGGCGCACAGATGGTGGAATACAAAGAAAACAGCTGACAAAGGAAAGGCAGCTTTCGTAGTAAAGATACCTGAGAAAAAGTGGACTCTACCATTAGGATAACACTCAATAAGAATTTTCAGTGTTCACTGATTGAAAAACTATATATTTGGTTAGCATTGCAGGGCTTAAGTGTAATTACCTAAGAGAACAGGATTGCTTAACTTATACAGCAGGCTCTCTTTACATAAATATTGATGAATATTAATGCCCTTTAGAAATCTGGTAAAAGCACCCTTTGAATAGTTAAAGCAAGCTCCTACAAAAACAGCTTCTTTATTCTCAAGTACTATTGTCTCTAAGAAGAACCTCTTTATAATAAAAATAACCATAATAATAGCAATTTTTCATTGTGTATTATGTGCTAGGTCTTATTTTACTTAAGCCTCACAAGAACAGTCCTACCAGTAGGTAATATTATCTTCTGTGACACATTAAGTCACCAAGGCTTGGAGAGGATAAATAACCTGTCCAAAGTTATACAGCTGGTGAGTGTTTGGGCAGAATACAAACCCAGGTCTTTCTGTCATCCAAACCATGCTCCTGACCATATACATTATACTCCAGTGTAAATAACTGTGCTTTCTTTTTTAAAAAATATGTGTTTGGAAAAGTTTTAAATAGATTACTTGTGTTTGACCAGTGGCCAAAACTTTAGCACAAACATCTTAAAGGTAAAATTGGAGTCAAATAGAATAGTTTAAAAAGTCTTTAAGGAAATGAGGAATTTTCTATGTTTTTCTTTTACTTTTTATACAATCTGTAGATCTATTAGATACACTCACACACACACACACATACACACAGCAGGATAATACCCATATTTGAACACATCGATGAAAAATTGGTTTCAACTCAGGATTTTATAAAGTCAGATTGAGGGTGGGGGTGTAGCTCAGTGGTAGAGTGTGTGCTTAGCATGTGCAAGTTCCTCGATTCAATCCCCAGTACGTTCATTAAAAACAAAACAAAAAACAGACAAATAAAGTAAATGTACTTTTTAAAGAATCAGATTAATGGATGGATAAACAAATTGCATTGTATACATACAATGGAATATTATTTCAGCCTTAAAAAGGAAAGAAATTCTGACCCATGCTACAACATGGGTGAACCTTGAGTGAAATAAGCCAGTCACAGAAAGACAAGTATTGTATTATTCCACTTGTATGAGGTACCAAGACTAGCCAAATTCTTAGAAACAGATAGTAGAATAGTGGTAGCCAGAGGCTGGGGGAGGAGGAAATGAGGAGCTGTTATTTAATGGGCATGGAATTTCAGTTGGGGAGGATGAGAAAGTTCTGGATATTGGTTGTACAACAGTGTAAATATATTTAACATGACTTAACTATACCCTTAAAATGGTCACAATAGTTATATGTATTTTATCACAATTCAATTTTTGAAAAAATCTGATGCAATGCACTTATCACAGGTGAGTTAGCATTTGGTCCAGTTTTATTAGTCCTGTTTTTGTTTTTGCTGACACCAGGGTAATTCCACAACTTTCTTCTTTGGAGCAGTTTGCTTGTTTTTTTTGTGTGTGTTTCTAATTATGCAACCAAATTGCTTTGAAGCTGGAATGGGAGACAGATGCCCTGTACTGTGCCCAAGGCCAAATTCAAGGTCTCTCTGGGAAATGGCATGAGCAAGTCCCTTACAGACCTGTGATTACTGGAGTGATAAACTCACTGGAGTTGCCAGCGTAGTTTCAGTAGCCTCCAAATTAAATGTCACTTGGTCCCCTGTAGCCACATTTGTTGTTAGGCATACTGGCTGTCTTGGAGGATTTGGACTGGAAAATCCCTCAAATGTTATTAATTTCAATGTGCACTCTTTGGTAGCTGGTAAAAACAATATTCTCATACACACCTCTTTGAAGAAAATGAAATTGTTACATTTCATACTCATTCTAAATCCAGAGAGCTCTTTGGTATGTTGAGATTTGTAGAGTTCAGCAAAAATCATAAGAGTTAAGAGAAAATAGAGTACCTAGCTGTATTTAGCTGAGCTTGAGAGCCCATCTCACAGAGATGGTGTTTATTCTTTAGAATTGCTGGATTCTTGGGCAGCTAGGCTTAATGAGAGCCAAATGAGAAGAGGATGTCAGAAGAAAAAAAGGTTTAAATTACAAGAGGGTCTGACAGTGACTTACCATGAACAGAGCCTGTCCTTGTCTGCAGAACAAAGCTTCCGTGACAAGGTTATTCCCTCACAATGACTCAGTTGTGCAGAAACTATGCGTAAAACATGCTGCGTCCAAACAGGGTCACAGGAAACAGTTTTTCTGAAGAATATCAGGAGCTTGATATTTTATGCCAAGTCTATGTGACTGTCATCATTTAGGTGATTCCATGGAGAAATCAATGCACCCTGCGTGTCCTTGGGTTGCCTCACTGATGAGAGGAAAAGGCATTTTTGAGCCCCAGTTACCTTAATTGATTAACCACACTGCCAAAGCTGCGGGGACAAACACCAACTGTCTTATGCTGAGTATTTCTATATAATAAAAGAAGTCTTGGGCAGAATCAGGGAAGGCAGACACTGATTTATTTTGAGATGAAAAATGACAGATTCCTTGTGTAACGTCTCCCCGTGTAAGAATCCTGAGGTGTACAGTTACTATTTAGACCCCTAACTCATCGGCTTGTGACCTTGGGGAAGTTACTTAACCTCTATAATCCTTACTTTTCTCACCTTTGAAAGATAATCATAGACTTAACTGATAGAATTAAATGAGACAATTTGTGTAAAATGTCTGGAACATAGTAAATGATCAATAAATATTGGGGAAAACTAGCTGTCAGAACTTGGAAATGAAGTAACCACTCTTAAGATTTTGTTTCCTCGTCTGTAAAACGGATGAATTATATGGGAACTCTCTAAAATGAATAGGCAGCTTCTAGAATTCCCCATTTCCTTGTAATGGGAGGCATTCAGGCAGAATAGAGTGGGAGTTTTCCATCCTGAACAGTGGAATCAATTGGGGAATTGATTTTTTAGAACTTTTTAGAATTTTGATCTAGGCTTAGCCAGAGGTTCTCATTCAACTCATCTTGGCTAAAGCCTGGGCATCTGTATTTTTTCAAGCTCCCATGTGATTTTGATAGGCAGATAGCATTGTGAGCCAGTCAACCAGACCACTTGGAGATTGTTTATTAGACTGAAGCAGCTGAGAAGACCAGGTCGAGGCCCTTTCCAGATCTAATCCCACGAGATGTCCAGATCTAGGATTCCAGATTTAGAATCCCCTGGGAACACAACAACACACGTTTGTCTCACCTCTATCCTCAGGCAGCAGGAACTGTTGGTTTTCTGGGAGCTCTGAGTCCCCTAAGGTTATTAGCCCAGAATTAGATTGCCATTCTCGGCTTGGGACTCTGAGAAAGGAGCAGGTTAGATTTGGGATGTTCCTGGATTCTTGTTTCCCAGGAGGGAGATTCAATCAGTGTTATAATATTGTCATCAAGAAGAGGTAGGTTTGGAGGAGAGTAAAACTCATTTTAAGATTTCACATTCTAGGAGGGAAAACAGCCCTGTACATATCTAGAGGTTTTCCAAGATTTTGAACAACAGTCTACAAATAACACAGCTGTAGGATAGCTTGTCTGTCTTTAATTCCATACACAGTTCCCACTTGGCATATCAAAGTTGCCATATTTAAGAACTTAGGAAGGAAAGGAGCACACAGAACTGAACTGGTAAGAAGAGAAGTAAAATAGGGTGTGACCCCTCAAGAGTCTAGTATCTGAGAAACAGTGAGATTAACAAGGAGAAACACTTCACTAGGAACATCTGTAGAACAAACAATCCTGAGGGGGAAATTATGCCACAATCAGGGCCACAAGTCTGGTAAAATTGATCCTGACAGTAGTTTAAGTTTTAAATAAAATAAATTTATTTAAAAAAATAAATTTCAACTTTATCTCCCTTTAGAAGAAGATAAGAATGATACACAGCACCCAGAACACATGACCTCAGGGCTATTTACATGTGACAAAGAAACAAAGATGAGTTTCTCTCCTAGCATCCTGGTAAATGGGAAGTGTGTGCCTGCCCTGAGATGTTTTCTCAAGAACGCAGTGGTGATATTTTATCCTGCTATTTTATGAATGCAGTAGATATGGGCTGTTTCCTTTTTATTTTTTCACTTTGTGTTTTTAAAAAAGTGAAAATAAGTCATTATCATGGGAATCAATCAGCGTAGTATAGTGTCAGGAGCTGTACAGGAGCGGTGTTAGGACTCTCGGTCTACTTGCTACCTGTATGACTTTGGGTAAGTTACTCTCTCTCTCTGTGCCTCAATTTCCTCATCTGCAAAATGGGGACTTATAAAATAGTCCTACCTCATAGAGTCATCATGAAAATCAAACAATGTATGTACGGTGTTCAGAGCAATGCCTGGCATATAGTAAATGTTCAATAAGTGATAGCTATTAATAAAACATGAAAACCAGGCAAGACACCTTGACATTTCTATCAAATTAGTTCAAATTAATAGCAAATATATTTCCTTCCAGCTAATACTGATTTAAAAATACCAAAACCCAGGATTGCTGGTAAACAGGACAGGAAATGCAAGATGCTGACTGCTTGCCAATGACCCGCTGACCAGTCTTTCAGCAACTCAGTTATCTTCCTTGTCTTTAATTTTTCTTCCTTTGCAATGACTGTAATTCAGCCTTTCTATAACTTATGCTGTGAGGAAGCATGAAGGGAAAACACACATATATTTAAATAAAATCAACAGAAGCAAGTATCTGTAAAATGCTTTGAGCCACTGAGACAAAAAAGTGCGCCTTCAATCCTGTATTTTCTATGTGGACCATTTCTTTTTTCCTTCTTTGCCTTCCACATGGCCTTCATCAGCTCCTCTCTGCTGCCTTACACGAAGCTGCTTTGCTAAAAGCCCAAGACCTCAAGAATGGGGACAGAACCTGGGAGGGCTTATCTTCCCCCATTTGGACTCTAGGTGTCCTGCACCTAAACCTTTGGGCTCTTTATTTTTTTACTTAACTTTTGTTTTTATTGAAGCATACATAGTTGATTTACAGTGTTTGTCATTTTCTGGTGTGACTAGTGATTCACAGCTAGTGATTCAGTCATACATACATACAAATACATGCACATATTCTTTTTCATATTATTTTTCATTATAGGTTATTACAATATTGACTTTAGTTCCTTGTACTATACAGTAAGACCTTGTTGTTTATCTATCTTGTATATAGTAGTTTGTATCTGCTTATCTCAAACTCCTAATTTATCCTTGCCCCCTCCCCTTTCCCCTTTGGTAACCATAAATTTGTTTCCTGTGTCTGTGAGTCTCTTTCTGTTTTGTAAATAAGTTCATTTGTCTCATATTTTTAGATTCCACATATAAGTGATATCATGTGATATTTGTCTTTCTCTTTCTGACTTACTTCACTTAGTATGACAGTCTCTAGGTTCATCCATGTTGCTGCAAATGGCATTATTTCATTCTTTTTTATGGCCGAAGTAGAATTCCAGTGTGTGTGTGTATGTGTGTGTATCTCTCTCTATATATATACACTTGGGCTGTTTACATGAGTAAAATTTTTAAATGACTGGAGAATGAGAAGGAAAGAGAAGAGAGAAAAGATTTTCAAAACCTGGCAGTGCCTTTCAAGAATGTCTCATTTTTGTTTTGTTTTGTTTTGATTTAGTGAATTTTTCATTGTCAATGCTAAATCCAGGCAGAATTCTGGAAGATGAAATGACTAGGTAATTGGCTAATATATATACGTATACATTAGTATTTGTTTATGGTGTACTTTTAGAAAATGTTTTAATTGAAAATAATTTCAAACTTAAAGCGAATGAGAACAATGTGTGAAGAGTCCCTGTGTGCTCGTTACCTTTTATTACCTTCTTTAGCCTGTTGTCATTGTTACCCTCTTCCCTGTCATTTAAAGTCGGTTGCACACGGCATGGCCCTTTATTCACACATACTTCAGTGTGGTTCCTAAGAACAGGAAGGTCTCTTTATAACCACACTACAGTTACCAACGTCAGTAAATTTGATATTGATACAGTACTTTGATCTAATCTACCATCTGTCTTCTGATTTTGTCAGTGGGTCTAATAATGTCATTTAATACCATTTTCCTCCTCCTTCGGCCTTCTTAATAGAAATTTCAAAAGCCCATAACATAATGTTTGAATGTTTACATATCAATTAATGTTGCTGATTTGAATGAGGCTTGTCTGTATGCTGTAGCAGGCTTACAAGGCTTCTATGCTGGAAACAGTTTGTAAAATCATATTAAAAATCTATTTGTAAGTATTGAAACTGGATTTATTATTTTTAAAGATACTAACTTTCCTCTAATTTAGTTAAGACTTCACTCCAAATTGGTTTGAAGTCATGACCTTTTAGCACACTATTTTAAAAATACTTACAATTCTGCCAGTTAGGAAGAGGATTTTTTGTTCCTTATGTAAACAATATGGAAAAACTTACACTAAGAACCGTTTTGGGGGCTCACCTCTCAACCTGTTTATGCCAATGTGTAAACAGTAGTGAACTTTTTCAGTACATTAAGATATGCAAGTCTAAGGGAGAGGGTATAGCTCAAGTTGTAGAACACATGCTTAGCATGCACGGGTCCTGGGTTCAATCCCCATTACTTCCTCCAAAAGTAAATGAATAAGTAGACCTAATTACTTCCCTCTGCCCCCACCAAAAAATAAATAAATAAAAAGTTTTAAAAAGATATGCAAGTCTAGAATATAAATTATGAAAGAGTCAAATTGTGTCTATAAATTGTTGATATCAGTTTAAAAATGATTTATTAACATCATGTTTTTTGCAGTTAACCGTAAAGCTTCATGTTACCTTTGGCTGGTAATTCAAGTGGATAGATTTGCCATTTCATCCTATAATTTAAGGAAAGAGAAAAAAATTAATATGCATGTTTTATAATGGCCTACACAGTCTTTGTGATCAGCCTGTAAACTTATTAATTCCCAAATCTGAATATTGTTACTGAAAGAGATAAATAAAGGACTGTATTTAAAGAAATCTTCCTAATTATTTTCCAGATATGCATATTATTATTCAGGATTAGGTGCTGGAGTTCTTGTTGCTGCCTATATACAAGTTTCATTTTGGACTTTGGCTGCTGGCCGACAGATTAAGAAAATTAGGCAACAGTTTTTTCATGCTATTCTACGAAAAGAAATAGGCTGGTTTGACCTCAATGACACCACTGAACTTAATACACGGCTAACAGAGTAAGTATATTGTTAATGTCACCATTTCATAAAGAAATTAACTGCTAATGATGTGAAAATTTGTCAAGGGAAGATTTTAAATGAAAAATATTTCTATTACATTAAGCATTTGGTGGTTATTGGGAGTGGATCGTCTGCCAGCCATCTCTAGCACCTACAGCCTGTGCCACAGTGAGCTTTCCTCCGCTGTCAGTTTTCTCTCCTCGGCTATATACTATGTATATCTGAGGCCTGAGCTCACGTCTAATACTTGTTTCTCTCTCGTGGAGTTTATCACAGGCCTGGCAGATATTATACACTCAATTAAGATGGCTGAATGAGTGAATTCACAAGGAGTCTTATCTTAGTAATTGTTGACTCTTCACTTATTCAAAAAATATTTGAGGAGCTATTATGCAACAAGCACTGTTCTCGATGTGTGTGATAGACCGGTAGAGACAAAGATCTCGGTCCTTTTTGTTGTGGACACTTCCAGCAGGGGGAGATAGAGGGTAAACTTTTTCTGACTGAGTGTCCTGGCAAGAGTGTCATCAGCAAATGAAGCCAAAGAGGAGGGAAGGTCAGCACATTTAGGGTCTGGCTGCCTCCCTGAGGACCTCAGCTTTCACTCTGAGTGAAATGGGCAGCCAGTGGATGTTTCTGATCTGAGAAGTGACATGCTCAGATTTACGTTTTCAAAGGACCGTCCTGGCTGCTGTATTGAAAGGAGAGTGGATTGAGAATAGCGCTAAGGGTAGAAGCAAGGAACTCTTCTCTATAACTGTGACAGTGCCCTCCCTAGCTCCTGCTTTTAAACAAATTGACTCTTATGTGCAAAATGCTAATATGTCTAATAGAATTCACTAATTTAAATAGCATCAACTCTAATGATATTAACTTCTTAGAAGCATGAACTAATCTGAATTTCTTCCTTTGTACAGTATTTAGGTGGGGAAAATATCATTCAAGAGGCTAAGACTGAAAGAGGCTTGCAGGAATCTGAACAAATTTTTGCCTGTCCCTGTGTTTGATAGATGTCTACTTCACCTTTCTGATGAAGACCTCCGCCTGTAACCACTTAGGTGTGATCTTTTTTAGTGACATCTCCAAAATTGGTGAAGGAATTGGTGACAAGGTTGGAATGTTCTTTCAAGCAATAGCCACGTTTTTTGCAGGATTCATAGTGGGGTTTACCAGAGGATGGAAGCTCACCCTTGTGGTAATGGCCATCAGCCCTGTCCTGGGACTCTCTACAGCCATTTGGGCAAAGGTATGCAAAACTTGGGCATTTCCGCTTGTGTTAACCTACACAGACAGAGCTACTTTTAATATGCAGGATTCTGGTACCTGTACTTGTGCAGATCTGTGTTAAATGGCATTTGAAGCCACATCCAGGGGGTTTCAGGATGGTGGAATAATAGGACCACCCTTCCCATGAAACCAAATCCAGAAGCACATTGTAACTATGGTGCTCTAATAAGGAAGTGAATTTTTTAATGGGACTCAAAATGTCACAGTTATTAGCTCAGTTACAGGTTTTCTGCAGTGTTACTGCTTTAGGTAAATCTTTTGGCATAGTAATTTAAATTACATATATGGTTATGTCCTTATTTAAGTAAACACAACTTTTAAGTATAGCATTCCTCCAAACTACTGCATGAATACCAAAAATTTTAAATAAGTTTGAATTTGTTCTATTTAGTTTCAATTTTGCCTTGCAATAAAACTCATGTAACCTGTTCTATTTCAGCCAACACTCCAGAGTTAAGAAATTCTACTGGCAATTTTTGCTCATTCTGAGGTTGATGATTTACTTAGTAAACTACTGGTCTCTCTCTCTCTCTTTTTTTGTTGTTGTTTTTTAATTCTTTCTTTACCTTTCTCCTGCAATATCTTATTTAGCCATCTTATGATTCAGTGGAATGTCCAAACTAAGTCTGGAAGTATTGTTTTCAGAGTAATTAAAAACTGTGCAATAAAGGAAAGGACAGTGAATCCTTTCCAAGCAGTAAGGTTTTATTTTTAGTTTATTTTGCAGTGAGCAGAGAAAAAACAGTAGCAGATGTGGAATTCAACACTGGTCCCCAAAAGACTATTTGGGGAATTATGTGTGACTCCCCTTGAGGGGTGGGACAGAACCAGGCTCCGTTGGGGGAGGGGCAGTGGTGTAAAGCAGCCATTGGATCTGGTGCGCTGGATGGGGTTTGCTTCATGACTTCAGTGTTTGGTAAAGGACAGGGTTTGAGAAGAAAAAGTCAGTTAAAGAGTTGATCAGACTGTTTTTTAACCTTTTCCCTCCTCCCTTATACAAAAGTCATAAATATTTCTCTCCTGTCCAGATACTTTCCACGTTTAGTGACAAAGAACTTGCTGCATATGCCAAAGCAGGCGCGGTGGCTGCAGAGGCTCTGGGGGGCATCAGGACCGTGATAGCTTTCGGGGGCCAGAACCGAGAGCTGCAAAGGTCAGGAAGGTTGTTTGTCCACTTGTTCAGAGAACCCACTTTTACATTTGGTTGCTTATTCTTTTGTGGTATGTGTTTACTGCTTTCCTTTTCCTGATATTAACCCCTCACCCACAAAATATAGGCACCCTGTGCTGATGGCTAGAGTTTAATGTCAGACTGTGAAGCAGGATTCTTACCCTTTTGTGTTCCATGGACTCCTTTGTCAGTCTGATGACAACTGTGGACTCTCTTCTTAGAAATGATTTTAAATGCATAAAACAAAATGTGTAGGATCACAAAGGACACCGATTATAGTCAAGTGTAGTGATCAAAATATTTATAAATTATGATATAGGAAATATGTGTCTCTATTGTTGACATATTAAATACTAAGAACTAAATGTGGGTCTAGTAACTACTGCAATTCAAAGTAGGGTTGCAGGTAAAGGATATTTCAAGATATCTGTAACAATTAGAACATGATATGAAAATGATCTGGGATTTCTATTGGCAACAGGAGTCCCAGTTACTGCTAATTCTACAGTGATTTGTTGCCTGCAGTGATGATAATCAAAGGAAATGGTAAATTTCAGTGAGAGGTTAGTGAAAACAAATGTGTAATTTCTTTCCCCAATCAAGTTCCTTAACCATGGATCCCAGATCAAGTACCCCGGCTCTAAAGAAACTTGATAGACAAAAACCTAAATGCCAGAACACAGCTCCCTAATAAAGGCTGCTCCCCTCTACTTAAATGCCCCAACCCGTTTTCTTTAAATAACCGCAGCCCCTCCTACAGCCACAGTAGGAGTCTATGTAAAGTATTTTCTCTGGCTGTTCTGTGGGACTCTTGATACGTACCCACAACTGTTTGAAAAAGAAATTCTATGGAAATTTTTCAGCCTTAAAAGCAAAGATTCCTTAGTTCCTTCTTTTCCATTTTCTATTTTCCTACACCTGCAGCCCTCTTCAAAACCAACACTTGCCTGGTTCTCTAACCTCTTCCTTTTTCTCTGTCACTGCTGCTTCCTGTACACGGTAGCCACACAGACCACACTAACCCCCAGTTGGACCTCAGGATGTGAGTGTAATCAGTGCCGCTCCATTAGCTACAGTAGGCGAGCCGCCCAAGCGAAGGTAATTACAGCATGTCCACCGCTGACACCGGAGCCCCGTGTCACTTTGGAGGCAACGTAAACCTACTTGCCCGTGCCTTCTGGCCCAGCCACGTGGAACTAGGCACAGTGCTGGACGTGGCATGCTGGCTGTCTCCCCAGGGACGCAGCTCTGCTCAATGAATGCATCACCCAACCCTGAAGAAAGAGCTCGGAAGAGTTGGGTGCTTTAAGTAATCAAAAGTCGTAATTTTTGGTGGCAGCAGACATTGTTAAAAAAACTAATAAATTCTCAACATCTTGTTCGGTTAAGCTAAAAAAACTATGATGTTGTTTGTCTTTTGTTAGAAACAAAAACACTCTGACGTATGTGGTATTTTCCCTAAAGTCCCGTTTTATGCCCAGTGAGTTTTTTTTCCCCTGATTTTAGGAAAATTAAATTTGACACACCTTCTGTGTCTAGCATTGGAAAAGTAGATTTAATTTAAATTTATGGGGAAAACATTGTAATTTAATAGAACCATTCTAGACATTTATAGATTTACATCAAATCCTAGAAACCAGTAATATGAATTTTAATTACTATTCAAAAATATGACAGTAGTAGAATGAGTAATATTTTGGAAGAGATTAAGTTCTAAAACAATAGCAATAACAATAGGAACAGGATTTGTCAGGTTTTGCCAACTATGTGCTAGCACAGTAATAACTACTTTCTGTAATTATCTGTCATCCTAACAGCCATCTTGCAAGCTGGGCATTATTGACTCCATTTCATAGGTGGGATGAAACTAAAATCTAGAACAATTGGATAAGGAACTATCTCCCATAAGTAGCGACCACTTTATAGCCTTGCACCCTGGCTTGGCAGTTGAAGGACAGTCTGATCAGAAACAAAATCAAACAAAACAAGAAAGCAAAGGCCCAAGTATATGTACAAAAACATGTGAAATTCCTGTCCCTCACCCAATGGGACAGCAGAGGGAGGGTTTTCTTTTCTCTAGAGAAGAAAAATTGAGCTGTGTATCTAGCTCTTTTAAGAGCCCTGAACAGTGTTTACATTTTGGTGTTTTCCCTGGTTGGCTTGGTTTCTCCTCTTCCACCTTAACCTTGACTTGTAATGCTGGCCATGAAGGCGATGGTGAGGCTCTTCTGTCTCCCAGGGATGAGAGTTCCATTCTGGAACAGCTCTGGGAACTTGGGTGGGACTGGTAGAGACCAAGGGAGATGGGTCCAGATCGGCAGAGAAAAGGCTCAGATCAGTTCTGGTCCTGGCCGATCTTGGATTGGGTCAGTTCAGTTTTCACCAGGGGTTTCTTACTTGATGGCTCTGTTCCTTAAATCTCCAACCCTATAGGAGATGAATGTGGCCCCAATTATGGATTGTTTTCTTATTATCATGTTTCCCCCTCATTTTCTGGTAGGTACCAGAGACATCTAGAAAATGCCAAAAAGATTGGAATTAAGAAAGTTACTTCAGCAAGCATTTCCATGGGCATTGCCTTCCTGTTAATATATGCATCGTATGCTCTGGCCTTCTGGTATGGGTCCATTCTAGTTATATCAAAAGAATACACTATTGGAAATGCATTGACAGTAAGTAGTTTTCCTTGTATTTATGAAGAATCTGAAAATACTGTTATTTATCTCTCTTTTCTTTCATTTTCCTCCTTTTTGAAGGATGAGCCATGGTTTTAGGCTTTTTTCTTGGTGAATCTTTGCTCTGTCCTGTGGGCAGAGCTGGCCTTCTAGAATACACAGGGCATAATTATTTGTAGGGGCAAGAAAATAGCCCCCACCCAATTAGTAGTTAAACCAGTTGAGAAACATATGCAACATGTAAACAAATAAAAATTGAATGAATGTATGAATGAACAAATATGGATTGGAGCCATCCTCATTCTGCCTGTGAGTTTCATTATATAAGAAAGTAGACATTATTATAGATAGGTCATAGTATGAGAGGATGTTAAATTTACATAATATAAATACAAAATATAATATAAAACATCAGCTATCCAAAAAATAAGATGGAAAGTTATTTTAGTTTGTTAGCTTCATTTTATGGTTATAAAATAATGTTTACTAGCTATAGAAAGAATTAGAATAGAGACTTAAAAATTAAAAATTATGTAGAATTACTTATGATCTACAAATCCATATACACTGAATGATAACTTTTGGTGTATATCTTCCAGATCATTTTCTATATGTAAATACTTTCTTTCTTTCAAAACTCCGATTTTACTATGCATACCTTTCTGTAAATTTTTTATAAACTAGCAACATATTGTGACCTTCTTTCCATGTCAGTGGCAGTCAGAACAACATGTAACCATTCAATGAGCAATTTTTTAAAACCTACACTCCCCGATCCTTCTAACCAGAGGACACCGGACACAATTTGTCCTCTTGATGATGACTTAGGGACATTACGAAAATGTATCATTTCAAAATGTTTTCCAGAGTGGTAGCTTCAGATTCCATTGAAGTGCTGAGGGCCATTTGGCTGGATGAGCTTTTGTAATTTCTGAGTCTGTTTTTTTTCTCCTTTTGGTCTCCTCTCTGGTTGTCAGCTTGGAAGCTCTCCACCTTTCCTCATTTCCTCATTTACTAAATTTTATGAAGAAGGGAGATTGAAACTTTACTCTACCATTCACCCTCTGTGATGAGTGTGTCCTCTCTGGCTTGGTCCCCCCATTTATGGTACATGGACAGTGACATCTCCCCAGCAGGGCTGCAGAGTGACATCCATGATGCAGGGAGCCCAGTGATGCCCCCTGTGTAGAGACCGAGTGCTCCAGTGCTCCACTGATTTTGACAGAGACGTTTTTGCTTCCTTCCTGGTCTTTCTCTGTATTGCAAGTAGTGGGTAGATATTTCAGGGATATTGGAGTTTTGGGTATGTTAAGTGTTATTGTTACTGTCTTCTGAAAAAGGTCAAACTATACGTAGACTTTCCATCACATCCAAAGAGAAAGAAGTCCTTTCTCTTCATTTATGTTTTCCTTGATTAACGTACGCTAATAACCTGGATTCCTGAAGCTATAGTCTTGACTTTTCTCTATCAGTGTATTTTCCGAGTGTAAAAACTATGAAGGGATATGCATTAAGTTTTTGTGCTATCATACAGAATAGTTGTGTAAAGGAGTTATTAATCAGTGCACACAGGTGCGATTTAGTGTTTTATAATGTGTGAACTATTACTTCTTATGGTAAAAAATCTTATCAAAATATGTATGCAAAATGGTATTTTTTAAGGAAAATTTCATGTGGCTGAAATCTACCCATGTTTCATCATGAACATCCTGTGTACTTCCATGCATAGTTAAAGAAAATCATACATGACTGATGATAAAATATAAAATGTTTTCCTCTGGTAGCAGTAGCTTCAGAATCAAGGAAGGAAGTTTGAAAATTTTTTTCTGACTTCATGTAAGCCCAGGAGAAGAGCATCAGATAGTTTGGCAAGCTAGACCAAAGAAATATTTTTGAGATTGAAGAAACTCATTCATGCAGTAACATACTGTGTTCACCTTGTGAATTGTGCTCTTTTGTCAAAAAAAATCTTGAAGGGATAAACCTAAACTCAACCCTTTGGGTTGTTAGTGTTTCAAACAAATTGTGTTCGAGATAATGACAGATGCCTGAATGGGGCTTAGAACTTTTCCTTGTGTTCTCTCGCTCAGGTCTTTTTCTCGATCCTGATCGGAGCTTTCAGCATTGGACAGGCTGCTCCCTGTATCAATGCTTTTGCCAATGCAAGAGGAGCAGCATATGCCATCTTTGACATTATTGATAATGTGAGTCATTTATTATTTTAATGCTGAAAAATTCTTTAAGGCTTGGGTAACTAAATCTGGCTTTAGGTTGAATGTCCTATGAAAATTAATTATGTGACATGAACCACCTCTCCTTAGTAATGAATGAAATAACATGCCCCTTGTTCCTATTTCTCAAAGTTTATCTTTGAATAATCCAACACCACTGATCTCAGTTTGGAGAAGTACATCTTGCCCTGGTGTGTTACTATTAGAGTTCGGAGCAAAGATGTTTGTTTCTAGTTTTTGTCTTTTTCTCTTTCATTTTGTAGGCAGCCTGAGAGTATTATGATTTCTATACAGGGTGAGTGGGTGGAAAAATTATTTGTGGGGCCAAAATTGACAGCATGTTTTGGATGCCCCCCCCTTAAAAAATGATCATGGCACCTATGATATAATTTTGAATCCACTATATTGAATATGTTGTACTGACCACAGTGAAATAAAGAAATTAGTTTTGACATATTAAATTACATCACTGCATTTACACAGAGAAAATGCAAACTGGATAACTGAAATCTGATGGTTTAATCCAAGCAATTCCTCCTGTTTCACCAGTCTAAGACATGAGAAAATTGTTCAGCCTCTGCAAATCTTGAAAGTTTACATTGTTCCTAAATAATTTGGCTCTAACCAATTGTTGAGTCTTCTCAATTCAGTCCATTACATTTATGATTTAGGAACAGGCTAATTTTCACCAAATGGTGAAATACCTGGATATATCAATTATAGTGTTTTTTTGTTTTTCAGCTGTATAAATGTGCACATCTGATCGTTTAGAAAATTTATGAGGATGTGCCAGAAACTTAAAGTGAACTATTGTATGAAATGAAAGTAATGTATCCCTTATGTACTTTTCCAGAAGAGTCTATTTTCTGAGAAGGAATATTTCCTAAAGCACATACACACGAACACACACATACACATATACAGTCTCCACCTTAGGTTCTGTCTAATATGAGGGGGAGGAGGCCATTCTGGGTCCTATTTTTGGAATTTGCTGAAGCATATTCCTTAAATACACAACTATTTGTCCTATGAAGGAATAGTCATTGATTTTTGTTTTATTTAGAATCCTAAAATTGACAGTTTTTCAGAGAGAGGACACAAACCAGACAACATCAAAGGCGCTTTGGAGTTCAACGGTGTTCATTTCTCCTATCCAGCTCGACCTGATGTCAAGGTATTGTAAGTAATATTTATAGGAATTCCTAATTCAGAATGATTGTTTAATCATCTTAAAGAATCCAAAGTCTCTATTATTTTGATGTGTATGTGCTTTTTCCTTTTGAGTTTTTATTAGTTTTTTTTAAATTTAAAATGGAATAAAATTCTTCCACTTTTAGGCTTTTGTGGTGAAGTGAGTTCTTTTTCTCTCACAGATCTTGAAGGGCCTCAGCTTGAAGGTTCAGAGGGGGCAGATGGTGGCCCTGGTTGGGAACAGTGGCTGCGGGAAAAGCACCACGGTCCAGCTGGTGCAGAGGCTCTATGACCCTGATGAGGGTATGGTAAGTGGGAAGAACCACCTTCTCCAAAGTGGAAAGTTGGGCACCAATTAACCCGTTGAAATGGTATTTTAGTAACAAATTAGCCTGTGAATCCAATTTTGGTAAAAAGGCTACGTAACCGCAGTGCATCTGGAAAGTACCTTTCAGTCCTTGGGCTGGTCTAACGAAAGTATTCAAGATGATGTCAGCCAAGAAGCTAGACAATACTCGCCTCTGTTCCAGCTAGGTTTTTCATAGCTCACTAGATCACTGGAAAATAGTTATCCAAACCACTGAGAGGATTATTTTTCAATGACTTATTGGGTTTGGTCAAAAGTATTCCATACAGCAATTGTGGACAACCTGGTTTTCAGGGTCACAGAAAATCTTAGGACAGTAATTAAGTTCATCAAAGACAGCTGAGTTTTCTTTCTTTTTTTTAAATAGTTTTTTTTTCATTTTAATTTGTAAAAAAGTTTTGGGAGGGAATTAGGTTTATTGGTTTCTAGAGGAGACACTGGGGATTGAACCCAGGACCTTATGCATGCTAAATACACACTCTACCACTTGAGCTATATCCTCCCCTAAGTTCTCTTAAGTTTTGAAATATCTGAAGGGGAAAGTGAGATGGTCTCTAAGAAACTTCTGGGGACACGGGGAACTGTAATAGCCTAGGGTATATATTTTTTGCCTTTTAAAAATTTTGTTATAAATTCAAACTTTCAGAAAAGTTGCAAGCACAGAAGTCATATATACTCTTCACCCAGATTTACTCATTGTTTCTGTTTTGACCTACTTACCTTATTCATCTTTCTTTCTCATTCACGTGCATATGTATGTATGTATTACACACACACACATACATGCGTTTTTTTCTGAACCTTTGAGAATAAGCTAAAGATATGATGCTCCTTGACGCCTGCATACTTGAGAATATATTTTCTGAGAAGAGTGAAATTCTCTTACAAAATCAGAAAATTTAGCACAAATAAAATGCTAGCCTACAGTATATATTCAGATTTCCTCAGCTGTACCAACTTTAGGATATTGACTTTACCTGAGGTTAAAATGCACTATGATACAACAATTATGAAAACAGAGCTTTACATGTTACAAAGGAAAAGGAAAAACATAAAAAGGCATTGAGGTAGAACAGAGAATGCAGGAATTAATACAAAGTTTTCCAGGATACACAAGTTATTTGTTTATTTCATTTAATAAAATTAACAAACATTTTTGGAAGAATCTGCTATGACTAAGGAGGACCATAGGCCCATCCTCGTTTCCTAAAGCAGACTCTAGGTTGGTTGAAGTATAAACAGTTTTCTTTAGTTTTTAAAAAGAACCTAATAAATGCTAACAATTGGGGATTAAACATTTAAAAACATCTTATTTTTAAAGTATTATTTGAATAGTACATATTTTTCTAGAAAATATACATGTCAGTAAGAAAAAAGTCTTCAGAAATTCTGTAACTCAGTTATTCACTGTTCACACCATGATTTAAGAATTTCCTTAAATCACTGAAATTTCACTGAAATAATAGAAGAAATGCCCAGGGGCATAGCTGACTGATTCAATTTTTCCTTAGACCTCTCTCCAATAAAAATCAGTAAAGCTATAATAAAAGAAAGCAATAAATTGGAACAAATGATTTATGATATATATGGGAAAACTATTATATTTAATATTTTAGTAATTAATATGAATCTATCATATGATAAGAGCATGCAAATCTTTTGAGAATAAATATAGATTTGTAAAACGTTTCAAGAAATGTTCAGCCTCACTTATATACAAATTAAAGCTAATATAAGCTACCACTGTACACTTTTTGATTAGAAAAAACAGGTGAAAATGAAAAAACTCAGAGCTAGTAAATTACAATTAAGCAGATATATTTATATATTCCTGCTGACAGTGTAAATTATTAAGATCTTTTTAGAGAGTTGTTTATTCAACGTTCATTCAGCAAGTAATAAATGCCCAACATATGGCAGTTACTGTGTAAAGTTAAGCAATTGTTATTGGAGAAGAAAAAATAAATCATCTTCTTCAGCCTTTTAATTCTCTATTTTTACATTGATTGTCCTTTAGTGTTCCTTGAAGGGAGACAAATATTCAGCAGGTAAGAAATGCTAAAGTAAGTTAAGGTATATTAAATATATTTAAACATCATAATGCCATCAAAATGATATGTAGACTAGGTAAATGGACATTTTTACTCAAATGTAATAATGGTAAGCAAAGATAATAGTCACACAAAAAATATATAGCCCAGTATATACTCATTTATAGAGAATAATCCATCCATGAAAAAACTACATGTAAGATAATAATCACAAGAGAAAATACACTTTTTATTTTCAGTCTTGCACATAGCTATTTATTTCCAATTCTCATTTCTAACCACTGAAATAAGGTAAATATTAGCTAAGGCTTTTTTGGTAACAAAGAGTCTTGTTGCTTGAGATGTCAGATGGTTTAAAATATGTCATGGCGATATTTCATTTTTTCAGATTACCATCGATGGGCAGGATATTAGGACGTTCAATGTGAGGTACCTGAGGGAGATTATTGGAGTGGTGAGTCAGGAGCCAGTGCTATTTTCTACCACAATTGCTGAAAATATTCGTTATGGCCGTGGAAATGTCACCATGGATGAAATAATGAAGGCTGTCAAGGAAGCCAACGCCTATGAGTTTATCATGAAATTACCACAGGTAGAGCCTCTGTTAGTATAATTGCCCTTGAAATTAGAATTTCACCTCATACAACTGATTTCTTTCTTCAAAGGGTAAGTTAATAATGCTTTGCTAGGTAAGTCCCTTGAATTATTCAGGTGGAGGGTTAGGGAGTATAGCTTAGATGGAGCACCATATACCTATGGTACATGAATCATACAAAATTTTGTGCAGAGTATGTGTGAGTAGTGTTTTAGAATTCAGCATTTATTTATCGTAATTTGTGACTCATTATGATGGTCAAAATGAAGCTCCATGTTGTCTTCATGAATTTCTAGACTCCATAGCTTTTCTTTTTGAAATCCTTCAAGAGCTCCACCATGCTTTCTGTTGTAGAAATTTGACACCCTGGTTGGAGAGAGAGGGGCCCAGCTGAGCGGTGGACAGAAACAGAGAATCGCAATCGCTCGGGCCCTGGTTCGCAACCCCAAGATCCTCCTGCTGGACGAGGCCACTTCGGCGCTGGACACTGAGAGTGAAGCTGAGGTCCAGGCAGCTCTGGATAAGGTCAGTGGACCCTCCACCTCAGAAGGACCAGCAAACTGACACTTGATTGAAAATCCTTGCCAGTGCTGTGCCAGTCTAGGTTGAAAAACATGAACATAAGAGCAAATGAAGCTCTCTCGTGGGGCATTATTGATATCTCCTTTCGGTCAGGTCATGCTGCAGAGAGAGGTGGATGACCCCTTAACTGACTTGCTCTGACCAAGGTGCAGTGAGCCCCAATCCAGGCCTATGCAGTGAGCCACTTCGCATTGTTTTGGGGGGTTTTTTTCTGGTTTTTCTTGGTTTGGGTTTTTTTTTTTTTTTTTGGTGTTTTTGCAGAGAATCTAGGACTTTGGTCAAAAATAGTTCTGTTAAAATGTACAAAGAAGAATCTGGTTACCTAGACACTGGTCCAGCTGGAAAAAAATTCAAAATACTTTCCTTTTTTTGTAGGCAGTACCTCATCTTTCTCTAGTCATAAAAGGGCGTTGGTGCTTTCCTGGAAATAAAATTCCATTTGTGTGTGTTTGTCTAAGCAAATAAATAAGCCACGCACATTAAGACTACTGAGCTCCCAGGCCAGCTCAGATGTTTCTAAATCTGTCACTATCATCTTTACTAAGCTGAAGCTTCACGGGCAGAACCTGATCTTGGGACCCTTCCAATGCAGTATAGAAACCAGAGTCAGATGACACCATGTAAGTGCATTTCAAACACATAAATATCATAAATATATTTGAGTCAAGAAAGCTTAGTAACAAAATGTGCAAGTTACCTAACAGTTCTATCCAAACTACCTCTTGAAATTTTAGAGGTGAGCTGTATGAACCTTATTTTCTCAGGAAAATGTATACCTGAATCCTAGATAAACACAACTGCCTCGTGTGCTGTAAACTGTAGTTAATTAATGCTTCTTGGTTTATCAGATTAATATTTTGGCTTATCTTATATAATTTAATAATTAATGAGAAATGATGACAATTATTTCTCACATGTTTTTATGCTGAATTATATTGTTTTCATGTATATTGTCTCAAGATTAAGAGACCGAAATATAATACATAGGAGACTTGTATTTGGTTGGTTAAAGTGGCTTAAATCAGGAAATCATAAAAAATAAATACATGTACAAATTAAACAATTAATTTTAACTTAAAATGCATTACACGGGCATTCATGTGTCAATATAGACCTTTTAGCACAAAGTTAGGTAGGATAAGAGAAATATTTATATCTATTGTTATTCCTCCCAGATTGCCTATCCTGGAAGAATAATATTTTCCTTTTGTCACTTGATCCTTTATACATTTATCAGTATCTCATGTGTGGCACCAACTTATTGCACTTAGGCATTTCTTTTCCTGCCTCTCTCCTAGAAAGAATAAACCCCAAGAGACAGCATTAATCAGTGGTTCATGTTTGTATCTCTATAACACCCACTCCAGTGCCTTGCAAATAGTAAAGCCTAAATAAATTTTTACTGAATTGATTACCATGGCCTAGCTTACTGAGATAATACATTAGAATGTCACATAATAAATTAGAATTTCTACAGTAGAAAAAAGTTATAATGATCGTATCGGCTTTTGGCTCAATAGATAGCAACTATTCATCAAAATGAATAAAAGGTTTTTTGATATAAGTTCTTAAAGAAGAATACAAAAGCAGACTTGATAAAGACTTAACGAAAGTCAATAATCACAAAGTTTCATACCTACACAAACTTTCCTACTCACAGTGTTTCTATACTAGAGGGGCAAGAAAAGAACCAAAATGGTGATTTAATGAAATGATCCCCCAAAATTTCATTTTACGCTTTTTTTTCCCAGAAGTTCCAGAAAGACTAATGGATTATTATTAGTATTTCTTTTGTTTGTTTGGCCCTACCTTTCATCCCTGCATATCCAAAACGAGTAGAAGTTCCAAATTTCTTAGGAGCTGGTATCTCTGAATCTAGGATATTTATTTGCCAGTGTCTTGTCATCACTGGGGTGTTTGACAGCTCTGAAAAAAAATCCCTTTGTGTCGCATCTCTTCTACTCTAGCTCAGATTTCTTGGTCATGGGTGACAGTTGCTAACTTTGAAATTCACAAATACATATTTTGTTTCTCCTGCACACAGTCCTTCACTTGCAAGTCTGATTCCAATTCCTCTGATTTTTTGTGTTGACATAGCATCAACCTATTATTCTCATAATGATAACACAGTCACTGTGAGCAATTTACTCATCCATCACTGTTAGTATCGTGAATATAATTAGACTGATCAAATTATTTCCTATATGCTTTATTATTCATGGGCCAAGCCATGCAACTTCCACATCAGTAAATCAGTAAATATTTATGAATGTTTCTTTCTGGGCCTGGATGCTAAAAATCAAAGAACAGCCTTAAATGTTGTCCAGTAGAATTATACTGCAGTCTTACTCTGTTTTTATGATTTGACTCTTTCATATTTATTTAAACACAATTGATTCATCTGTTTCAGTATAAGGACTAAAGTAGAAAGACCACATTATTTCTCCCAGGTGGCTACACAGTTGGCTCAGTACCACTGATTACATAATCTGCCTTTTTGCTACAAGGCATATTTATCATATAGTAATTCTTAAATGGTTTGTGTCTATTTCTGCACTTCTATTTTTTCTGTTGATCAAGTTGCCTAATCATGTGATAACTTCCCCAGATTTTACTATTTTAATTGCTGTAGCTTTTTATGTTTTGATGTCTGGTGGAGACATGTCTCATTAACTTCTTTTTCAGAATTTTCATGGATGCTCTTTTTAGTATATTTACAAGATTTTGCCACCATCACCACTATCTAACTGCAGAATATTTTCATCATCCCAAAAGGAAACCTTGTACCTGTTAACAGTCACTTCCCATGCCACCTGCACTCTAGCCCTTGGCAACAACTAATCTAATTTCCATCTCTATGTATCTGCCTGTTCTGGACATGTCATATAAATGGAATCATGCACTGCATGGTCTTTACTGACTGGCTTCTTTCATTTAGCATAATGTTTTCAAGGTTCATCCATGCTGAAACATGCACCAGAATGTCATTCCTTTTTCTGGCCCAATACTATTCCATTGCACGGATGTACCACATTTAGTTTATCTTTTGATCAACTGATGAACATTGAGATTGTTCCCACTTTTTGGCTATTATGAATCTAGCCTCTCTTTTTTTCATTTATCTTTTTAACTGCTTAGGTGAGTAGGGCTGTACTCCAATAACCATCCTAAGGTTGTGGTTTTATTGCTTCAGAGCAGGAGTGGTCTTAAGAAGCTGTTAGCCTAATAGGACTAATGAGTAGCAAAAAAGAGTAACCATTGTTAATGGCATAACATGGATCACTTGATGAGAATCTTCCAGGGTGTAAATGCCCATTCATAAACCTACCAAGCCATCAACATGCGAGTTCACTGAACTACTTAGAGGCATGATTTGTAGATTTCACCATCCACAGAAATCACCCAAAGCACTTGCTAAAAATCATAGTTACTGGCCCAACTCCAAAGACTGTGGTTCAAATGATCTTTGAACCAGAATTTGAACCATCCAGATCCCAAGGTACGTTTTCCCCTAAGCTGCTTGCTTGCCGTCCATCAGAGTTACAGTCAAAATCAGGGACTTCAGCAGAAACCCCATAGAATTGCTCTGGAGAAGGCTGTATGTGGTGACAACTCCTGAGTATGCTTCTGCTAAAGTCTTTAGCATATCATGGAACTCAGAACCAGGGCTCCTCAGACAGGTATGAAAGCACTTGAGAGGGGTGGTAGATTTCCTGAGCCATCCATCCTCACACTGGAGGAATTGGCCTCCTGTCTGGTCAAGAATGGAAGCCTCCTTTAAACCTGTCATAAACGAGTGATGCCTTTGTGCTCTAATCACACGGGGATATCATCAGCCGCAAACGTGTTCATCCAAGGGCTTGACTGTGTGTTCATTGGCAGTGTGTGGATATTGTAACTCTGCTGCCCTCCATGTGTGTCCTTTCCCCCTTTAGGCCAGGGAAGGCCGCACCACCATTGTGATAGCACACCGACTGTCTACAATCCGAAATGCCGATGTTATCGCAGGGTTGGAGGATGGAGTCA